CGCATCGAGTAGACACTATTATATCAGCGGAGTTTGTATCGAACACCAGAGTCGGTGATATCCCTAGTAGCGACATTATCCCGCGCATAGTCGATAGTTATTGTAAGTCTAACACGAACCCAATGCGAGAGCCAATCACTGTAATCAGATTGACTCCTTCTGGCCGAACAAGCTCTTTGCTTTGATGAAGAATACAATCCCGAGCCTATACAAACGTCCTGGGCAAGGTGTCCAGGACGGTGACGTCATTAGCAGCTAATGATAATACGGGCAGTATTGCCAGAATAGTTCCTTGCTCAAGTACCCAATGAACAGCATATGAACGAATAGGCTAGAAATCGACACTCTCCCGAATGGGGACCACCTGTCGAGGGATGCATGGTTATTCAAAACTCGACGCTTATAATATCAGTAATTCCAGATCTTCCTCACACATTTTGCCCTTCAAAGTTCCCCATAGGGCGAACTTCCAAGGATGATGTGGCACGCCGATCGTCCGAAGAGCAGACGATGGTCAAACTATATTCGATTCGCGCGGTCGTTGACCATGTAGACGGAACCTGAGAAAAACAACGGGTGAAGATCAGCGAACCGGCTCCCAATCGCTGTTAGTGCACGCCATTGAGATGCATCTTCAACAAGAAGAACAATTCTCACAGAGTTTGAATCATACCTGTGTCAGGAAGACGTCACCTACAACACGAACGGCTCACCACAACATAGCAGCCAGAACTGGGCACTCTGTTCGCGTGGAAGTAAACGTGACGATTCTTCCTCAACGACGACATTCCTCCCTGCCGATGAATTCTATCTTTCTGGAAGCCTTCAAGGCTTAGCTTGGGCGAGTCCACTCGCATCAAACATACGAAGAGCTGAGAGTGCAGTGTGTGACTAGGATTGTGTACAGATGCTTTAGAATAGGAAATTCTCTATTCGGGATGGGGCCGACCATTTCGGACCAAATCTCAGCGAAAATTCTCTTTTCAATTGGTCCTTCATTATCGGCTGCAATTAAGTCGAGCGAATACGTTTTGTACTCAAGAAGCGCGCAACCTCACTCACTTCTTCTATATCATCGTCGACACAGCTTTCTGTTGTATCTTGGGAGAGTAGGACAAATATGTCCGAAGTGACGCTACTGCTTGCAGTGAAGTTTACGATGAACATTGGATTTCTGCTCCACGATTCGACAGTGCCTATCGAAGCCAAGTCGTGAGGATGACGATGCCGTCGACTTCTTCCCCACCAGGAACTGGTTGCCGTGTAGGAATTGGTGTTCCTCCACAAGTGTCACAGGTGAATCGACCGCGGAATGTCCATCGGCTGGCACTCGGTGGAATGTTGCGGAGAGTGATGATCGAGTTGAATGCTCCGCTGAAGGTATGCAAATCGATCTCCACTAGAGATTCGGGACTCTCTTGGAATGGACAGCGAAGAGCAACCCGCTGCTGATCGATATGCTCGACGAAGTTGATTTGCTCGTCGTTCACACCGTGAGCGTCTTGGTCGGACATATATGTGCACGCGAGCACTACGGTATTTTCCGTCGCGACGCTTTCATTGACACGATCTTGCCAGTTCCCACCAGCGACTTCCATTCGCTCCACCCAATAGGAGTCAGATAAATCACGGAGAATATCGTCAGTCAAGCTCAGTCGCACAAGTCGCTTGTCCCCAATAAGGGCGACTAGAGCCTGTTCACACAGAGCCGGCCAGAGAAAGGCGCCCTCGTGGCACCGTGTGCCTCGAGGCTCTCCATCGACTAAGGGTATGTGCAGCCCTGGGAGTACGGCGAACTTTCCAGCCAATCTCAAAATGTGCACACCGTATTGTCTAAGTTCCGGGTCCCAGCCTTCGAGAGGGAAGAGAATCTCAGGGAAGGTCGGCAAGGTCTGGAGCACAGCCAGGGCGTTAGCAAGAGACACTCCGATAGAATCACTCGGAAGCAGCGTTGACTTTCCCTCAGGGAGAAGGTCGAAACTTCCTATCTCTTGACGCGAGAAATTCTGATGGTTTACCAGACCAGACTTATCCTGTATTCTTAAAGGCCCTTTCCTCGCCACTAAGATGGAAACCAGAGTAAAGGCGTAGGATAGAGCAGAGCAGATGTCCTCGTGGAAGATCGCGAGTGGAAGAGGCTCTTCGATGTTTATCGGTCGAGGCGTCGGAGGAGTCTTCGACCTCCTTCGAAAAGAGTCAGCAAGCCAGTCACTTCGAGCTCGGGGAAGTGGTATATAAGATCCCAGTGGCTCAGTTACAAAATAGCAAAGGAGCAAATAGCAAAAAAGTGCCAATTAGCTGGAATGCATATTCCCTGCGGCTTTTGCTGTTGTGCTAGTGTGTAAAAACGCTATGGCTGATACACAGAAGAGTAAAGTAGTAAAATTCACTTTACAAATACGCAAATTTGCCGTTTTGTATAACAGAAACTGCTCGAATGAATATCGTTTGCTTGTTTATATTTCAGAAAATTGCTACAATGTATAAAAGTTGCCGCTATGTGAAGTGCTACTATGTAACAAAATTTAGCAGTTTTGCTCAAAAAAGTGGCAAACCAATAAATTGCTCCTCCTACTATTGAGCAAATTGCTACTTTTCAGAGGAGCAATTTACCGCTTAACGAATGGGCAACCCCGCAATGGAGCAAATTTTTGCTGTTCTACAATCGGAAGAAGGAATTGAAATTTCGCACGCGAGAGTCGAACTTTGGTGGGTTGTTGGTGATTGTGTTGAGCATTGCATTATAGTTTCGAAGTCTCTGAGTGGTGACTATTTTGCAAAGTTCTTTGGTTCTGTCGATATAGATAAGTATAGTTGCAGCACTGGGAGAATGATGGATGGACTATTGTAAGTGGTAGTAGGTCGTTACTAAAGACTTACATAATGTAAGTTACATTCGTTAAGGATTCGTTGGATTTTCATATTTTCCACATCATTGCAGTTCGCACATGGTCACAGAAGGACGAGGGAGAGGATTGGTGTTTACATGGTAGTTCGTATTGGGCGGAATCACTCGTACTGAGTTATCCGAGATCACTTATTTGGATCAACGTGGATCACTCATCTGCAGTGTAGTGCTGTATTGCAGGCACCCCAGTGGTGCCCATGCGAGATGTCGTGGCCTTCATACTCGCACCCTGATCCCTACGTGGCCTATTGCATGCGAACCAATATGCTCTTCCGTAGTCTGAGCAAATACTGGTCATTGCAGAAAGATGCCCCTCGCGAAAATCGAAATTATCGAGGAAAGAGGCAGGCTGGCTTAGCAGTGCTAAGTTAGCACTCCGCATCTACCCGGCGCTGAACAAGTTCTCCCGAGGTACCAGATGTGAGGAGATAGTGCGAAAGTACTCGCCTAACAACAATGCTATTTTATTGGTGGAGGAGTATGAGAGGCACGCGGCAAAAGAATTGCAGCAGAAGCGGTCGAAAGAGGACGAGCGTGAGGAATCGAAGTAGTTTCTCCCATCACTGGAGACTAGCGACCATGTACGCACTCGCAGTAAGATAGGCACCTCAGGGGTGCTCAGCTGTTGTAGCTGCTACAAGTAGCTGTCTCGGTGATTGGTAGAGAAAAATTGGACGTTTCTCAATATGCTTCTCATGCAACCCTTAATAGTTTCTCTATGAAAGCCCTCTAGTGGTGCCCGGGAGCGAATATTGTGTGCGGGGGGCTGTAGAGTTCATACTCAATAATTTAGTCCGTGTTGCGTTTCCCCTGTACAATCCTTCGACACCTCTGCAAAGTCTATAACAATAGCTCCACGAAGACGCTCAGATGAGTGCCACTGCCCATGAGCAAATGTTTCTCGTGCAGAATGTCAAAGTTGCCCGTAATACTTACGTGATGCCTACTTGAGGGTTTAACTTGTGGGTATTGTTGAGTCGTCAATACGTACAATCGTACCAAACCATGAGACACAACTGATACGATGCAAAAAGAGAGAGGATACTCGAAGATGGGACTCAATTTAACTGTTATCTCATCTGATTCAATCGCGACGTGTAAGAGCAATCATGTGTTTGGTATTCAGCATTGATCATAACTCGCGCTGTCTTCGGAGTGAATGATATATCTCACTAGAGTGCTATCACGCTTTGACTCGATACTAAGTGACTCACTTGGAGTGAGACACAAAGTGTGACACCTTTGATAGATAAGATACTTAGTAAGTGCACAGGGCATGAACATGTTCTGGAGCATAAGATATAAGGCGTAATACCGTAATCGAACGAGAAACGCTATCCCACAACTATGTTTGCTCGATTGTATATTGCTCGTACGAGTAATGCAAAATGACAAGTTTGCTAATAACGCTAACAGAGACGCAGTTTGAGCGAGTGAGCAAAACGCTAGTATATATTTCCGCAGGACGTAAGTTACAAGAGAGCAAATAGCCGAAACATAGAAGTGGCGTAGCGTTGTCACATACCGGCAACTGCCAAGTTGTATATTTCATGCAGGAACATCACATAAGGGCAAACCTTGAAAAATGCCAGACTATATAATTACAACGCAAAACATATCAGACAGCAAATGAGCACAACTTGCCAGAATAACGAAAACGTGCGGGCGAAGCACACTTGGGCAAAAGTGCCAGCGTGTAAAACATTCCGGGGAAATATACAATGCAGCAAAAAAAGAGCAAAAAGAGCGACTTGCTGGAAAACACTTCTGGATTTGCTACTTTCAACATTGGGTTGCTAAAACCTATACCATAAATTGCTAGGTTATAAATGTGGTTGGTACTTTGTAACTGAGAAAGCAGCACATACAAAAGAGCAAAAAAGTGAGACTGTCAGAAATTATAGCATTTGGCAAGTCCGCAATATTAGCAAAAAGTTGCGATTGCCGGATTGTATTACACCGCCTCGTCCCCCCCAAAACCTGAGCCAATCCTCAGACTTCACAATAATAAGCACGATGACAATAACTAACGGAAAGATAGAGTCTAGCAAAGGTCAACCGAGCCACGATACACGGGTATCGAGACTACGGGACAAAGAATAAGCAAAAGATCCACTTTCCTAATTGGGGCCACGGTAGCTCCAACGAAGTCATCCACAATGGAACAAATCGGGGCAGACAACGAGTACAGAGTGAGAACAGCTGACATAGAACTCTTCGTCGTCCCCCGACTCGAGCAAAGTCGGAACATGGATCGATATCCTCGGGTCGTGCAACATAGTATGTTGAACATACCAAAGGCAGAACAAACGGCTATAGACGATATCATACCTTGAGGGAAATGAGACCAGCAGTAAACACTTACGAGCCATACTCGTAGATAAACGAACCACCAGTATAATCCCAAGCGAGATTCCCATTGCCGTTTCAACGTAAACCAGTGTGGCGCGGCTCCTCCAAGAACGGGAGAAACGGTGAGCATCTCAAGATACTCAGTGCGCATTCCGAGAACATCAGTGTTCATCCGAATCTCACAACCATTCCTTCCGGGATCAAGGACACAGAATCCAGCCATGCAGGCGTCCCTGAAAGCATCGAATTCGAGTCCCCCCCAGTCGGATGCGCCTATTCCAAACATCTTGTGCGCGCGTGCACGTGCCATAAGCAGCTGCACGTGTGCACGGCCAAATCCGTTGCACAATAACAGTCATAACCCACATACTTCCTCCACGGCCAACAAGACCATTGCAATAATACCGACCGAAGAATAGGGGTAACAGGAATAAATATAACATAATCCAACCTCGGGAAACCAAAATAAGATAGCTCCAGCTCTCCTCCCCTCTAAAATGTTGGCCACGGAGGACCTCATTTTAAGACCGGTCAAGGGGACAGAGCAGAGACTATAATAGAAGCCAGCAAACGGCGGGTCATTCTCGATGACATCAGCCGAACAAAAACAGAAATCAGCAAAGATAGTGAAAGTAGGCAATAATCCTACTCAGCGTAACCACCACGGGACGTATAACGCTCGGGGGAGAAACGCGTGGGTGCCCTCGGAGTACGCACACTCCGACGAGGCGCTACAGAATCTTCTACCTGCTCTGGACTAGAAGCCAGCACATCAGTGTAAGTGCGAGCAGACGAAGTCGAACCACCACTACGAGCAGAGACTACCGGAATGTCTGTCGTAGCCGGGGAGGTTTCCAAAGCCGGGGTAGTAGGGATCTCGTCAGGAATTACAAGATCAGTAGGGGGCCCAACAGTCGCTTCCTTGAAACGTACCGCAGGGGCAGGTGCTGGCTCTGGGCCTCCAGACAACAGAAACGTCTCATCGGTACCAGAAGATCTTGTAATCGAGCTCGACGAAACTAGCTGAGACGTATTTCTAGAGAGGTCTGTAGAGACCGGGGCATCCGAGACCAATCCAGAACCCAGACTTAAAGACGATGTCTCGCCAGGGTCGACCAAAGGTGGCGAAACAGAAAGCAGTTGCTGACGCTGAGCTAGGGTCAACACAGAAGGGGCACTTAACGTTTGCCTTGAGGAAGGCCCAGAGTGACCTAACAACTGCTCGAAGTCGGCTGCAGGGGCCGACACTACATGGGTGGGAGTGGAAGCCGAGAAAGGCAGTGACCTTCTAGAGGCACCACATTCCTGCGAAGCAGAATCCAGTCCCAACGAGGGAGAATTACCAGAGGACTCCAAACCAGCAGGTACCACAGCAGGCCCAGACCTACCAGTAGCCTGGGAAACTGCCCCACTCGTGGCAGGAGACCGGAGAACGGCAGACCCTAATTGTACAGGAACTGGAATAGGAGCTTCCAGTCTCGGCACACCGACCTGTGCAGAACCAGACGATAGTGCCTCCAGCCTCGGAAGCAGATCATCTCGTCTTTCTGCTAGAGGGTCAAGATCATCACCATCATACACATAGGGAATGTCGACCAACCGAAGATTAGCAGGAGCTTCGACGTCCGGGACAACCGAAGATCTAGCAGACCGTCTAGAAGCAGCCGAGCGAACCAACTCATCACGAAATGGAAACTGCTCTATACGCGGCCCCTCTTCTACAGGAGGATCCAACCTAACAATGCCAAGCTCTACCGGGACATCGGCAGGCTGTACTGGATCGGGAACTATATAGTCAGTAGAGATAACCTTCGCTTCCTTGGAGGGGTAGTGTCGAAGAACCACCGTCTTCAAGTGTGTTCCCGGGACGAACTTAGCAATATACCAATTCAACTGCCATTTAGGTAATAACTTCCGACCTGGCAGATTGTTAGGATGTTGTATCCTCAGCCTTACACGTTGTCCCACAAAATGTCGACGTGCAGCAGCAATCTTCTCCCTCTCCTTCAGCGCTTGGAACCCAGCACCATGAGCAGTAACCCACTCGTCGACATTGTCCTCGACACAAGCCCGAATACGAGACAAATGGCGCTGATAACCTTGTGGATCAAAGTTTGATCCACAAGGTTATCAGCGCCATACGTTGATTATGTGTTTGATCATCAAACACATAATCAACGTATGGTTCCAAAGCTGGGAAAAATAACGTAGGCGGCTCCCGCCCATACATTAGGAAAAATGGGGCATACCCAGTCACACTATGAGGTGTAGTGTTGTAGGCCCACAACACTGACCGTAAGTGATCCTGCCAGATATCCATCCTCGTCACATGAGTCCTCAATGAATTGAGAATGGTGCTGTTAAACCTCTCCACATGACCATTTGCATTGCGATGATAGACCGAAGTACGAGACTAAGCTATACCTAGCTGAGCCAATACGTCCTTGAACAGCTGTGACTCGAACGCACTTCCCTGGTCTGAGTCTCAGACTCTGAGAGTATCCTTACCGGGGGACCATGGATCGAAAAGAGATACAGTAGGGCCTTCAGTGCCTCAGCAGCGCTCTCACCTGCCACGGGGACAGCTTCGGCCCACCTCGTGAAGTGGTCCACCACTACCAATAGTTTAGATACACCGCTTCTGCTGGGAGCCACCGTTAGGAAATCGATAGCCACAGTATGCCAAGGCGAACCAACCGGGTACGGGACATATGGCAAGTGGGATAGCAAGACGTTCTTATGGGGTGGACAGCCTTCACAGTGCAACAAGAACTCACTAATATCCTTACTCATACCTGGCCAGTAAGCTGTACGTCTCAACCTTGCCACCATCATGGTGGCACCATGTGCTCTCGTCGAAAGTGTCCCGCCTCCTCATGAAACCGATCTAGTGCTTGGCGTCGGAGACCTAAGGCCGATACTCTGGATCCTTGAGCTCATCCTTCGCTAAAGGCTCTCCTGTCCGGACCCTGTCTCTCACCACCCGAAGAACAGGATCCAACTCTTGATCACGTACCAAATCAGCTGTTGACCATTGCTCACAAAGGGTGAGAACACAAGCAGGGGCAGAATTGTCCTCCTTCAACACGTCGGCCTCCCTGTCTTTAGTCAACAACTTATCTGTCACCAGGACAGGTATACCTTGCAATTCACGCTGGAGTGCTCCAAGATCTGGCTCTGTCACTTTGTCGTCAGATGTAGTGATCCGGGACAAGGCATCAGCTACGACGTTGTGCTTACCCTTCTTGTAAAATACCTTAAACTTGAACTGGGACATACTAATGAGCCAGCGTTGCACTTTCGCAGTCGTAGCCGTCTGTATCCATTCCAAAGGCTTGTGGTCCGAAAAGACGACCAACTCCAAATGGTAACCCCAGAGCAACGGTCTGAACCGTTCCAATGCCTTGAAGATGGCATAGGCTTCCCGCTCATACACCGGCCAGACTTTCTTAGTAGGGGTCAGAGACTGGCTGAAGAAGGCTAAAGGCCTTCCGTCCTGCTCCACCACAGCCCCTATCGCTACATCGCTGGCGTCGGTCATGAGCCGAAATGGTCTCGAGAAATCTGGGTAGGCCAACAAGGGGAGACTGGCTATCCACTGCTTCAGGTCATTGAAGGCCAGCTCTTCCTCCTTGCCCCACTGATTCCCGAGTTCCACAACCTTGTTCTTCGTACAGTAGTTCACAATTTCAGAAAGACACCGAGACCTATCCGCAAATTGCGGGACAAAATTCCTATAGTACCCTGCCAGCCCTAAGAAAGACCGAAGGGCGGGAGCAGTCCGAGGTAGAGGCCACCGTAGGATAATCTCGGCCTTACCCAAGTCGGGACTCATCCCAGTACTATTGAACATGTGACCCAAATAGGTCACTCGATCCTGCATAAACTCGCACTTCTCAGCGGCCACCGTCATACCAGCCGCCCGTAGAAGCTCAAAGACGATCCTCAAGTGCTCCAAATGCTCTTCATCAGATCTACTAAAGATCAGGACGTCATCAAGGAAACCCTCACAAAAGGGAGGTGTCCCAGAATAGCATCCATCAATCGCTGGAAGGTAGCCGGGGCACTTGCCAAACCAAAGGGCATCATCACCCACTCATACAATGGGAAGCTTGGACCGGGGCAGAAGGCGGTCTTCCGTTGGTCCTCCTTGCGAATCGGGATCTGCCAGTAACCACTTCTCAAATCGAGAGTCGAAAACACTCGTGCACCAGCCAGGTGCTCCTGTACATCGTCTGGCCGGGGCACAGGGTGCGCCTCAGTATGGCATGCCTTGTTGAGGTTCCTGTAGTCGATACACATTCTGACTTTATTATTCTTCTCCGGAACGAAGACGCACGGGAACCTCCATGCCGACGTACTCCTTCTAATAACACCAAGCTCCTCCATCTCCTTCAGTAAGGCCGAGATCTCATCACGGCACTTGTGAGGAATAGGCCTTATTCTCTCACAAATTGGACGAGTCGCCCCAGTGTCGACCGAGTGCTCAGCTTGAGTACAACGTCCGTGACGTAACACAAAACGATCCTTGAACTCCTCACATAGGTCAGCAACGGGTTGTTGCGCTTCCGTAGGGCTCTCACATATATCTGGTAACTTAACCGTCTCGTCCAGAAACTCTGGGACAGCAAACCGTAAGGGGTCTTGGCATATATCATCTCCTTCGAAGCCATCTACATGCTCCCAAGCAGCTGGGGGCCACTCCTCTCCCTTAATAAGGTTTCTCCCTTTCGGCTTAGACGTGCCGGGAACTCTAGCCTGTGATTCGGCCGGGAGGTTCAAGTTGGCTCTCTCTAACTCCTCGTCAGTCATGAGAGGCCCATCCGCTCTCAGGCCGGCACACCCAGTCGGGGCAGAGCAAATACCACAAGGACGATCGAAGGTGGAGACATCCAAATGGGCAAATGCAGCTGCACATCCCACGCAATAATGTTCTGGCTCTCTCACACAGTCGATTTCTATATCTTCTTCGGGGCAAGGCTTCTCGCACCAATCCTGAACGGGCGCCGAAACAGTCCCCTTCGACGTATCACTGTAGGCCACATCCTCGCCCACAGCCTTGTCCGATGCCTCAGTGTTGGCCTTGTCCTCAACCAAGAATTTTTCGGTCTGGCTTCCTATATTGACCACACCCGTAACCCCTTCTTCCTCGGAGTCAACGGTCTGGACACCTTGCGTTAGCAATCTCCCAGTAGTTTCTAGCACTTGACTTTGTTGAGCAGCCATCAAAGCTATCCTTGGAGACACCGGCTCCGTCATCGAAGGAGGACTGCTCAACACAGAATCTATATAGGAGGTCGCGTTGCCACCCTGGCAACACCGCCTCGACCGTACACCTCTGTCAACGGCGTCCAATGCATCTCGCATCAACCATGGAATACCAGGCGGGCCTGCCTCCGTATTCCTACCAATAATACGCACCGGTTTCTCTGGATACAATATATCTAACTGAAAATATTTTAAGAAGTCGTGCCCCAAAATCACGGGGAACGCCAACGATTCTACAATAAAAGCTGTAATCAAAAAGGGAATACTCAACTCATCAGCTGTGGAGCGGGCTCTCTCCCCCACCCCTGTTGCTGTAATCAGATTAATCGCTAATGTTGCTACACCAATAATCTTACAAGAGGACTTATCTATTGTAATCAACGACGGCCCATTCACGGGGCTAACTTCGCAGCCAGCGGGTATCACATCACGTGCTACCATCGTGGCACAGCAGCCAGTATCCACGAGGCAGCGAACAAGGCCAACAGACCGAAAATTTGACAGACAAGTTGTACAGACAAGAATAGACGAGAATCATCTCCAAAAGGGTACAAAGTCAATGTTTTCTTATGATCATCAGGGGTCAAGAGTCTTGACTCAAGACTTTAGCGACTGGCGACCGCGGGCTGCTGAGCGGCCGCCCCGCTAATTTCCCTGTTCCGGCGTCACACCCTTCTTAATCCTCTCCAGCAGAGCGGGGCGCTCAGGACACGAGCGGGACAAGTGTGCCTTAGAACCACAGATGAAGCAACCCTCACTGCACCTCTTATGAAGACAGTTATAGGATGCATGCTTCCCCTCACAGATCCCGCACGGCATCAGCTGTCTCCTGGGCTGCGTGGGTCCTGCACGCATGTCCTTATCCTTACGACCAGGATCTTGTTGAGCCTTGAGGATGTCCTTCAGGGACCTAAGCAGGGCATTCTGCGAAGTATGCATAGCGTTGATCGCCTTAGTCTGTGATTCGATAAGCGAAGCCAACTGCTTGTCCTTGTCTGGGGAAGGTTGTGCCACCGCCCCGGGGCACGCATGCTCATCCTTGGACACAGCCGCCGCAGCATGCTTGGCCGTCCGAGACTGCTTTCCTCTGTAATCTTCTATAATCTGGCAGACCTCAGTTATACCCTTAGGTCGACGTCTTCTTAGAACCGGCCTGGCCCCCTCCGGGGCACAGGCAATAAGCCGATCCAACAACATACGACTCTTAACCAAAGGGGGAAGCTTCTCCTCCGCCGGTAACATCTTGTCATACTCCTCCAGGGCCCGCTTCAAGATGGCCATGAACTGACTGACATGACCCTTCCCGTCCCAAGATAAGGCGTGGAACTTCTCCAAGGCCTCGTCGGGACGAATCAGGTCAAAGAGTTGTAACATCATCTCCCGATCAGCAGCGAAGTCCTTCTTGCCAGCGTTCTCGTCCCAAGTGTCAAAATAGGAATCCCTGAAGAAGCTACCCAATCTCTCGGCCATCATGTGCTCATTCCAACCGGCCGCCCTGGCATCTGCCTCGAACCTTCGGAACCAGATCCTTAGGTCGGAGACTCCATCATATCTCTCCGGCATCTGGGCGGTCACCACTTGCAACGTCTGACCAGTGAGGAGAGGCGCCAATATGCCTCTCGTCTGTGATAACTCGGCCTGCTTGTTGTCCTTAGCCGACTCAGTAACCATACTTTGATGCTTCAGTGTCGGGATCGCTTGAGGGGGTGACCTTTCCTCTAACACGCGGTTATACTCTTCAAGTTGAAGACTTCAACTGAACGCCTCGCCATCTCTCGCCTGCTTAGCCGCCGCCTCACCCAACTCAGCACGAATGAACTCGTCATAGGCCTCCTGAGCTGCCTCCTCAGGATCACGACGCACCAAGGGGCCCCGAGGGCCCTCCCCCTCCGCTCGGGGCAGAGTGGGGGTAGAACCAGAAGCTGAACCAACCATCTCGTAGTTGTAATCGTTCGTAACAAGGAGCTGCTACCAAAAAAGTGTCGGGGTATCGGTTGATGAACTCTAAGAACAACACAACAAGGGAACTCGAGCTAGAGCAACCAATACTACGACCCTAGGACAATAACAATAAACGCACTACCTGCACTTAAGTTCTGTACGAATACACACTTAGCAGCACAGTATTCGATATTGGGCTCATTCGTTATAATGAGGAAGGCGAAGGTTTGATGAGATGCCTCCCGAGTCGGGAGACACGACCGGGCAGCCGCGTCACACCAGTCCGCATCAATCGAAGTCCGCTCATCGGAGCAATGAGTGCCAAGTAGTACGGCTGCAGACTACAATGTGTAGCCATACACTAGAGAATATGTTGCTTCAGGTGTGGTGGTTTGAGAAGCAGTCCTCAGTGAGAACTCCCCACTAACCGTCTTCGATCGTTTCACGCCTTCACGTGCGCAGAAGATTCTCCGTGTGCCATGCGTGAGTCACCCGATGAGAGGTTTCATAGTACTTCTCGCCTTATGCCGGCCGCCAAAAGTGTCTAAAAAACACACCTCGCACTACGCCGCGTAGTGGACGGGCAAGAGACGTTCCTCCGAAACAGCCCTTCTTATGTATCTCCGTATCACTAGATTTGTGCGCGATTGTGCGATCATGCAACGCGGTGGATAGGCGCACAGTTTAGCAGAAGCCTACCAACCTCCTAGCTCACTCTGTGTTTGTGAACGGCTAGATGGATTCGCATTTCCACATATCGTTTGGGAGTCTCACGCTAGTAGTGGATGCTGCCAAAGATTAGTCGAATCGCAGCAAACAGATATGATGAAGTTTGACTTGCTCACCAACAAGCTACATGTCATGTTCCCCGCTCCAGAGCGTGCCCCATCGGCTAATTGTCAATTAGTAATTGACTGCTAGATGCCATTAACGTCTCAAAGGATACTGGCGTACGAACAAGCAAATCTCACGAGACCAGTGAGGCTCGGGCAAGGCTAATCACCTGTCACACTGCACGCATACCCATTGTTCTCCTCCAACCGCAGAAAGCTGTCTCTATAGGGTATTTAGCGCACGTCCGTGTGCACCGACCATCCTACTCGACACTATGGAGCGACTCTGTGTACATGCCGAGCCACTTATGGTTCTTTCGAGCTCATTGATCATGAATTCCACCGAGGACTTAGGTTCGGGGAAACGAAGCACTCTAGTTGACGTCTGGAGACTTCCAATCGTAGGCGTGAAATTCCATACTTCCAACTTGCAGCTGTAAATTGTTCAATCTTCGCTGTTGTGTTCCGTTCGAGCCTGAACATAGGAGAGTTCCTACTTGAGGAGTGAGCTAATTCTCTCTTTGTGATGTTGAGAACTCCCCATTGTGACTCCTTAAATGTGTGACGGGCCGTTACGTGTTTCGTGTCACAGCGAGTCT